TCCAGGGTAGATGATAAGTGATGAAGAATTAGTGTCTCTGTCCTTGAGGTTTCCTAATCCCTAGGGTGGATCTTTATAAACAGAGAGCAGGGAAGGACTGTGCTTCATATTACTGGCTCTTGATTCATTTAGCCATTTACTCAACCAATATTTACCAGTGTTTTTCAGGCCTTGCCCTCAGAGGAGAGTACTTGTTGAGTGGTGAATTAAGAAATAATTTTATCATTTCAGTTTTACATTTCTCTGTTTATGCCTATGGAACAATTCATTTGAATCTAGTACAGTTGTCAGAGCTGCCTAAAGTAATATTAAGTGCTAACTCTCTTAGCCTTGCGATAAATATCGGTGGAGATGTCCCACAGCTGCTTCACGGTTTGATGGATTCAGTAAACCTATTAGGGTGCTCTTCACAGCGAGTCTCAGTCTTACCACTGTCAACATAAGGGATACATTGCTTTGCATCACCGGGTTCAAGAGTTGGAAGCTTCTGGTTTTATTCATCCCACAGCCTAGCAGGGTCATCAAAGACCCAACATTGTTCTGCCCCTTCCGCTCTTCTGTCCACACTTCAGCTTTTCCACAGGGCATTCCCTGGGCCCAGGAACCCTCTGGTTTTTTAAAGTTCATGTCCAACAGAAAGGAGTGAGCTGTGCCTCCAAGTGTGGGATTTCCATTCAGTCTGATGGGGCCATCTTTGTTCTGGTGACCTTGACCAAATAATTCCACCAGGGCACGGTGTCCACAGGTTGGCTTAAGCGTCATAATGAATTCATCCCTTGGAGCTTGGCTGTGCCCTGTGTTCCACTGGGAAGAAAGAAAGAAAAGCGTTTTGGGTAAGCAGCCAACAGAGACTGCTGCAGTGTCAGCAGCAGCATCACATCTTGGTGGGAAAAAAAATGAGTTACGTACATTGGAGTCAACTTAAAAATTTTTTTAAAAATTTATTAGTACATATTTACAGTACAGAGTGGAGTCAACTTTTAACAGTAAAATGTTCGTGACAGGTAGGTAGAAGTATTTTATTGATGGCAGAATCTGCAGCACCTTGAAGGTCAGCTGAAACCCCATGTTATTTCTCCACAGTCATTAACACACAAATGCCCAGCCTTTTCCAAACTTCTTGGTGACCTGGTCCTACCATGATACCTGCAGAATCGAGCAGCTTAATTTGTAACATGGGCTTGAATTTTAATTGCGCTCCATTTGCATCTGTTGAAAACATGGTAATTAGGTATGTCTTAATTGCGGAATGACTGTGCTGTGTGAAAGAGAAATAAGCAGCTTCATGCATTGCTTTCTTTAAAAAAAGAAACTTGAAAAGTACCTGTCTTTAGAGGTAATCACATGGGGAAGTGGGTGAAAGTTCAATATGGAGAGTAGGATAAAACAGGCAGAAATGTGGTCAAAAATAGGTATTTCTATTTGGAAGGAGATAATCATCTTGCTTTGTTCAGGCTATCTTGAAAAGGAAAGTAAATGATCTGTAAAGATGAACAAAATTAAAATGGAAAACATCAGAATTTATACAACATTTAAAAATAGTAAATTGTCTAAATTTAAGTTTATGATTAGTTCTTGTACTATAATTTACCATATGAACACAATAGAGCAAGTCATTTATGCTGATATATTACTAGTACTTTTCTTAGTTGAAAAACTGTTCACACGAATGTTTTGTGGGTTTTTTTAGCCTAAGGGAATAAAAATATTTTATGACCTTTATAATAAAGCTAGTATTACAAGTACAAAGCCTGGTTTTAAAATTTTGAGTCTGACTAGCATATCAGTGACTTTGAATATGTATATATTTTTTTCAAAAATTAAACATATGTAGCCAATTTATTTGAGCTTTTATAAGCCACAGCTTTTACATAAGGGCAGGGTAAAGTGAGAGATTCTTATTTTTTCTTTATCAAGCAATTTCCAAGTTTAAAGCATATATAAGATGTGATATTCTAAAAGAACATCTTATGTTTGTACATATGAAGCTCTATATTGCTAAATATTTTTAATTAGTTGGCATTCAAAAGCATTAGTTACATCAGTACACCCCCAGTAGAGTTCTGGGATAATGTATTATCTAAATTAGAACAAGCATAAAGAATTCTCAATATGCAGATATCATTTTGATCAGTCCACTTGCTCGGGGCAGGAAAGGGAAGTAGTTTTCATTTTATAAGATGAGGTTACAAAACCCAGAGTTAATAAATGATTTAATACTTTCTGTATTTCACCCAATTTAGAAAATAAGTTGCATTACATCAGAAAATTATTGGAAATATGAAAAAAATTGGCAACAAACATGGCTTCAGCATATAGTGAGTTGTGCAGGCACTGCCTTTATTCTGTGGCTGAGCCAGGAGCAGACATATGCCCCTTGAACTCCTGCCAAAAGTATTAGGCAGAAACTAACAGAATCGCTGCTGATACTTCCATTCATGATTTATGATAATGGTTGCTGTGCGAGACTAACTCATTTACATTTATTGAGCTCATTTTTTTGTTTATCATTTCAGACATTGTAGAGGGTCGTAAAATCCATTACACGATACATACAGCACTAACAATAACAGTGTCAGAACATACCAGAAACCAATTAGTGCTATGCCAAATGCAGTGGGGATCCCTGGCGTTATTGTGGCTGGGTTCTGGGTGGTTTTGTCACGCTTGAGTAGAGAAGAGGAGGCATTTTCCTGAGGGTGGAGGGATGTTGGTATTCAGAAACTGGATAGAAGTTTGGTTGGGAAAAGTCATTGGTCGGGGCTTAACAGTAGTCTTTCATGTTATTAGGCATTTATTTGCATCTGCTGTCTGCCTGGCTGTCCTTTTTTTAGGAGTGTGGAGGATGGGAGGCAGTCGTGTAAGAGATAGCATATGAGAAGTGCAACGGGAAGGTATTGTACAAAGAGCCATGAGAATATAAAGCTGGTTGCCATTCAGGAATTGTAGAACATTCACTAGTATCTACTTAGCCTACTTGACTACACCTACAGTTGTAGGCTTTATACCTTTGGAGAATTGTTTTATAACAGTTTGCTCAATTATCTTGAATCTGGGCCCACATGTATTCCCAAAAAGTTGAAGCAGTGGTCTACAAATGGAGCACAGCCATGTCCAAGGGTACTAGACAAGACCCTGCAGTGCTGCTTAAACTATTATTTGCATTCTCTTGGGGAGCTGCCATTTGAAAAGACTACACCTAATTAGCAAGCCCTAGGCTAGTCAGCCAGGTTATTTTTCCGTGCTCTGAGCATGCCACAAAATATAGGGGGATCCCAAGATTTCTCAGGTCACTTTCATGGGTAGTAGCCTTTCCAGAGCCTGCTGTGTTCATTTGTGGTGGTTTCCTGGGTATGTTCATCCTTATGAGCCGCAAGTGACAGCCTTAAATGACCACACAAGACTGACAATAGGTTTCTGAAATGGAACACCAGCTTCTGGAATTCTCCTCTAGGAAAGAGCACATGAACACATGCTGTGTGGAGCATGGAACTGAGCATTCCCAAATGTAATTATCAAAGAAATGCGGGAAGGTCTTGCTGGGGCCCCACTGCACAGTGATACCATGGCAGACGTGGTAGCCTCAGACAGCAAGGGCCCTAAGCCAGTCCAATTAATTGGTCCACACGACCTCCTCGGGACCTTCAGATTTAGACGCAGTGATGTTTTTATTCTGGCTGTACATAGAGAATGACCTGCAGAGACAGGAAATTTGTTGGCTCATGTTTTTAATCAAATATGTCAAGAGAAAGAATTCTGTTCCTTTGTTTTTTATATTATGCAAAATAACCAGAATCTTAAAAAAAAAACCAAGAACAAAAACAAAAGGGTATTACATGAGCCTGACTGAGCCATCCTTGAGTAATTTCTGCTCAGATTTGTGAGTGTTTAATGGCACAGCACTGAGATGGGGAGTGTCGCAGCTAGTCTTACGGTGTGATACTATGTATTGCTGATTCAGAGAGACAAGCCAGTGTTTCTCTTAAGATACATAAATTTGATTTTGAGGTCCCTTCTTTGTACAAGATTGAGATGATGTAACTGTATTATTTGACTCGGTATTACTAGAAACTAAAAAACATTGATCCGTACTTTGTTCATTATGGAAGAAAGTGACTTTTGAATTCAAGAAGTCATCTGAAGCCCCCAACATTCTTACTGTATTTGGAAGGTAATCTTGGGCAACGAATCTCAGCACAGCTTTCTTCGAATCACTGTTACTCTGTGCATCCATGCTTCTTACTTGATAGGGAAATTTTAAAGAGGAAGCCTACTTTAGTTGTTGTTCTTCCAACTGCAAAAGGCCAGGGTATTGCTTTGCCCTTGGACCATTTGTCTAAAGTGCTGGCTCAGGGAACGGAGCCTCACGCCTGCCATTGTACAGGTGAGTGTGCAACATTGTTGAGGGTTGGAAGATGTAGAACATATAGCAGCATTTGCAGCATTTACTTGGGGTGTTTGGTCTCGTGCAGTAACAGTGTAATGAAAAGTTACAGAGGCCACGAGGCTCTGTTGTAGCTATTGAAAGGAAAATCCTCTCTCGTGTGTCCAGAAGTCTGATGTGAACAGCTGGGGGCCTGGGATAGGAGTGCTTTGCTGCCACTGGTGTGCCCACTTGTGAGTGGTGTAGGTTAGCAAGTTAATGAGGGCCAGAGTGCAACTACCTTCTGCTTAACCGAGGAGCAAGGAAGCCAGGCCAGGAGCAGGGGCTTCTTGTTTTGTTTGTATTTTATAAACTAGCACATAGGACCCTGCCGAGCCGTTCAGCCAGGAGGCTGCTTCCCCGGGGCTCGGGGTGCCCAGCTCCAGGCAGGGCACAGGGCCACTCCATGCCCCCTTCAAATGCCGTCAGCCTTGGGCAGCTTTGCCACCTACGCTGATGGCATGGCCGTTTCCTTGTTGAAAATGGGCAAAGTCAAGTCCTCCTGTGTGTTTTAATCCCCTGTCATTTTGTTTCTGTCCCTCAGTGTGCTGTCTAATTTTGTTTTCTTTCTTTCAAGTGGAAGAAGACACGGAAGAAAGCTCGCGATCAGGGAGAGAGTCTGTCTCCACAGCCAGCGACCAGCCGTCCCGCTCTCTGGAGAGACACATGAATGGCAGCCAAGAGAAAGGGGACAAGGCCGATAGGAGAAAGGACAAAGCCGGAAAGGAGAAGAGGAAAGATGGAGAAAAGGACAAGGATAAAAGGAAAGCCAAGAAGGGGATGCTGAAGGGCTTGGGAGACATGTTCAGGTAAGTGTGCGTTGGCCCTGAGCAGAACGTCCCTTCATAGGCAGCCGCGCGTGGCCGGACGGACGCTGGGAGGTGCACCTTCGGGTGTGAGCGCATCCTGCTGTCTGTGCTGCCCGTTGTGGCGAAACACTGTTCCAGGGCACAGCGCTGTGTGGAGCGGGGTCGGCTGGAAGACTCGTTCCAGGTCCGGGCGTAGCTCCTGCCGCTGACCTTGCTGTGGTCTCGCTGTGGTCCCTTCTGGCGGTTCTCACCAGCCTTGGGGACATGGCAGACTCCGCACCAGGCCCCCTTCCCCCTTCCCCTGGACGAAAAGCCCCATCGAGACAAAGGGCTATTAAAACAGTGTTTGTTCTTTCCTGTGTGGGAACAATGGTTCATTATTTAAATTTAACATAGAGCTCAAGTTAGTGGTAGCATTTAAAGGTTCATTAATAACAAGTCTAATAAAAAAATGTTACAGATAGAGCTTCAATTAAGATGTGTTGATTAATTTAATACTTATGACTTCAGTCTGTAACGATTTCATTAAATGTAGTCGCTGGCTGTTCCTTGACAGTTGTTTTTGTGTCCCTAAATTATACTCCGGGATTACTTAGCATATCATTTTTTACAAATCACTGCTATACAATAAAAGTGACAAGTTGTTCAGAAGTTTCACTGAGACTCCACATAAATGTTCATGGAAGGTGATTTATAATATTCAGGCATTTAATGTTAAATATGAAGATTGCTTGATTGTTCCATAAATTCAGCCCCTAAATATATCAAGATGATGGTTTCAAATTGAGAACATACAGCACAGCCTCTTGGCTCTTCAAGAAGTAGCTATCCTGCGTTATGAATCCCTTCCTTTTAACTTGTTTTTTATTGCACAATGCGAACAAGAGTTTTAATTTTCATGGAATTCCTTGATTTACGCCCCTCGGGTTGACCTCAGTAATGATTTGGGGCATCATAGAAATGTGAGGCCTGGAAAGTCCAGGAATAGCAGCCCAGCCTGAGGTCCTCACCACTCAAGATGCCTTCTATAGGTGTCGGACAAAATCAATCCGTGGCTGAGGGCAGCAGTAGGCTCATATTGACACAAAGCCTGGGCAATATTATCTTTAATGTAAATAATATTGTATTTCTGTCTCGGTGCTTCAGAACATTGGGCTCTTCGTAGTTGTTCTTTTTTATATATGGCTCCTCTGAATGCATTTTCAGTGAGGTCATCATTCTTCATTATGTCCACCTCCAAAAATATTTACAGATTGACACTGCTCTGCGACGTTATTTCCGCTCCTGTGTCAGCCAAGGGGTTTTCCCTTCTGTGTATGCATGCAAAAGAAGAGCTCACAAACCGCACAGACATCAGGCTGCTGCCCATCACTTAAAATTTAAGGAATTTGTATGACTGTCTTCTTTAAATTTGAGAATAAGCAGTGGAAGAAGACCTCCCTGAGACTTAGGTATAGCTCCATTCCTAGAGGCACTCCTGACGTTTCTGGGAACCTATGGCTTGTTCATTTTCTCTCATCAGGCTGTGTTTATCTGGTAGACACAGGGCTCTGATTTTGACCTGAATAACAGATAAACAAACTTCTAGTATTTTACAAATTATCATCATCTGCAACTTGCCACTGCAATAGCAGAGGTTTTTATTTTGGGGCAGTGGAGTGGAGAGTGTGGGGCTGATGTGTATTGTTGTAAAGGACCTGGAAGGACACGTGACAGCCCCCTTCCTGATCAGAGCCTTGCAGAGCACTGTGTAGTGTTTTCCTAGATCTAAATCCATTGACTGTACTTCAACCATGAAAGCCCGCACTGTGATAAAGAAGTTGAAGTTTATAATTTCAGAAGCCTTGAAAATTGAAATCTTGAAAATTGAATTCTGTGCTCAGGTACAGGGCTGAAGGTTCTTTTTCTTGTGGTTGCTTTTTAAATGAGGCTGATATTCTCCTAGGGTTTCAGAATGGATGGTAAAAGCATATCATATCTGCACTTCCGTGTCCTGGAATCAGTGGTGTTGGAGTGTGCCCTCATTCTCTGATGAGAGCCAGTTGTTCAGTTTTTAGAAAATTTGCCAACCAGTGCACAGCCATTATTAAAATTTCACTGAATCATATTAAAATCAAAATAATTAATAGTCAAACTTCATCGCATCCCAGATATTTCCCTGTGCTATGACCCCTGCTTCTGAGATGACTGCCCTGCCTTGTGGGTATGTGCTGAGCCCCAAGGGCAGCTCCTGCCCTCCGGCCTCGCTCCGGCTCCAGCTCCTTTGTAAGATGTGTGCCAGCCCTACTGGGAGAACTTCCGCCACGGCGGCTACGAATTCCTCAAAGCAGAGCTTCCTCCCCACGGTGGGAGTGTGAATATATCTCCGCGAAGAGTTGCTGCCTCTGGTCCATAGGCTTGGACAGGGTTTCCTTCCGCCTGGTTACAAACCTCTGCTTCTGGCCTTGGTATCGAGGCTCATCAGAGGCTGCTACTTGAAAACAACTTGAGCATACTCTTAAGCATAAAACAAACTTGTTTTCTGAATGTTAGCTCCTAATCCTGCCTTTACACCATTATTGTATGTCATTAGAATTTGAGAAGCTTCTTGAAGCTTCTTGAGACTTTAAAATCATTTTTAAGCAAACTTCCATGCCTACTGAGTCTGATTATTTGAGACTAATGAAACTTTGGTTGATTCTTCTGTTTTTCTTCCTCTTCCTCCTCTACTTCCTCCTCCTCCTCTTCTTTAACAACCTAGAGGAAGACAATAAGACTTTAAAATGAGTTTCTTCCTTTTTCTTTGTTCTTCTGAGGAAGGTAGGACGTGACTTTTTGAGCAGTGTTGCTTTGAAATTGCTCCATCAAAACATGTCCGCATGGGTCCATTTCTCAGTGCAGTGGGCTGGGGTTCTGGCGACCAGTGCAGGCCTGAGGTGCTGAGCAGCGGTGGGCCTCTATGTGTGGTTTCTGTTTCTGTTTGTGGTTCAGATAACAAAGAGAAAATGGCAAGGGACATTAGATCACTTTCTAAGTAAATGTGGTAGTATATAAGCTTTTTCTCTGTAGTCTGCTTGAAAAAATAGCATGCTTTCCTTTACAAGCAAGCTCACAGGCCCTTCTCCACCTAGCAACCACCCTGATAGCTACCTCTTCCTCCCTTTCTCCCTACCCTCCCTCCGGAATTCCTGCCCCTGCAGGTTTCTCTGACATTTTTGGTTAAATACAACGTGGAGCAAAGAGAGTACCCATATTTGAAAAGGAGGGGATTGATGGTAGGTTGAATAGGTAGTTGTAGTCATTGGCATACACAGAAAACATGGTTTCTTTTTCACACATGGAATGGCAGTCATAAAAAGTCTTAATTATTGATAAATAGCTCTCGGAAAGAATGTTGGGAGTCAGAAGAATCCCTCTTCTGTTTATAAATTATGGAGGCTATGAAGTGCAGAAGCTGCCTTTATGCAAGTTTTAAATCACAAATTTAAATCCACAAGGAATCCAATAACGAATCTAAACTGCCTCGTATTTGTATTAATTTCTCCTTGCACATACTGCCTCCTCTTTGGCACACATGGAGCTCCTGTTGTCTTAATTAAAGTGGCTTTGTGTCTAAGGAACCCGACTGTGCTTGCAACCAGGTAGAAACGACTTTGAACATAACCAGCAGAGCAGAAGGAAGGGCTGAAATTTTGAGTCTTTGTGTATGTTTGATTCTTAGATGCTTGGCTATTCAAATTTTGCACTATAAAACATTGCTGAGAACCCTGCAATTTTATGAGGTTGTCACTAAAGAGAGAAATAAATATGTACTTTAAAAGGAGGAAGAGCAGTTGTTTCATGATTTAAATGTGTGTGTTTTTAAGGAAAGCAGCAGCATTTTTAAGCAACATGTTTTGCCCTTAGTTTCTATCACCAAATAGAAATAACCAACAGGATAATAAAATCCTGTCTCCTCATATATTAAGAATTTAAAGTGATGCGGCCCCTTTTATTCAGCCCTGAAGTAAGCACAGTTTGATATTACTGTTCTGGAGAAATGGAACTATTATGTTGTGAATGTCAGAGAATTGCCAGTGCCCCCATACTGAAGGCTCCTACGAGATGAGGCCTTACGGCACACGTCTCTGATTTCTTTCTTGCTGCTGTCTATATGTGATAACCGAGAGTCTATTGCTTTGGAAAGCTAGGGCTTTCAAAATGTTGCAGTGTTGCCACTACAATTGAATTCTCCAATTACACTTAAAATAATTACCTGGGCCCCTGAAGCATTGTTTCATTCGGTTGAGTAAGAAGAAATAGATAACTTTGTCGGAATCCTTGTTTGGTTGAAATCAGATACACTGCTAGTTTTTCCTTTTTAGAATATGAACATTTTCAGAACACAGTGAACGCTCTAAGATCTTAAAACTTGTGGTGGTGTGGATGGTGCATCTTAGGTCTGAGAGAACAGCAGTCACGTGTTACTGTTGCCCCTGCCCTGTGTTTACTAACTCTGTGTCTAACCGTGTCTCTCGTTTAGCCTTGCCAAACTGAAGCCGGAGAAGAGATGAACAGCAAACCCGGTTCACAATGTCTTGAGCAGCACGTGTTGCACAGTTGTTTGTTTGTTTTTTTAAACCAACAATAAATTGGCTTTCAATGAATTCTTAGTGGCTGTTGACAAATTTTGTTTACGACATCAGCAGTTTTGGTGGCTTAATAATGTCCATGTTAATCAGTTTGGAACTTTTGGATCTTAATTTCCAGCCTGGGGGTTTAAATTACTGCTTCAGAAGGCAGAGGCATTATTTTTTCTATCATTTTTTTATTAGTGCCCCCCCCCCCGCCCCTTCCCAGTAGAAACCGTAGTCATCGCTTTTGCCGTTTTCAAAAATCATCACACACCACGAGGATGTCAGAGTCAGTGCTTCCAAGATTGTGTGAGGTACAGCCTCCGGCCTGATTTCCCATTGAGGCGGCCTGCCTGGGGACAGAGGCAGCTGCCGAATGGACGGAATGAAGGCAGGGAGGTGTGTGGG